AAAATTGAAAATTTATTTAAAGCTTGACGGATTCGAGTACAAAGACAAAAGGATGAATTAGCAAACTTGGCATGCATTTATTTTGTGAGTCTGTCTATATGTGACGATTTTATAATTTACGAAAACACGAGGGATCTGTGCATAACATCTTACGAGATAATTTCCATTGGCAAATATGCTATGTTTCATACTTCCACTTAACGAATAATGATGGAAATGGCATTTAATTGTATAATTCTTAGATATTATGAATTCTTCTTTAGTGTTAGTACCTTTCTCTCATGGCATATCTTGTATCATGTATGGTGGACTAGACAAGATTAGGGAAGCGAAGTATTGCACTGACTGTTAATATATCCCTAATGTCTTCTAGGGGCAGTATAAAGTCAAGATCGCATCATCATATAATACGACAATGCATACCCTATTCAGGTTACTCCCCTTAGCCTTACCCTCTAAAGATCTGAAAGTATATTTATGTTTTCCATGTCTTTGTTGGAATTCAATTCTACGCACCACCATATATTGATATGGGATGCTGGAATAAAAAAAGTTTAGGTTGATTGTCAATTGATGGTAACTTAAATCAAACTGAATACAAAAGTGTTTACTATGTTACTTGATGCGTGTTTTAAACTTGTAATTAATGTAGTCCCGTATCTAAGTTTTTTTCAACGTTCTTCCAATAAATTTAAAGAATATTATACTTTTATCTCTATTTCGCACTATTAAATAATAGAGAACATGTGATAAATCAAATTAACGTAGAGAATGAAACATTCATATTCTTCTTCTACAATCGTCCTTTTATGACAAAACTTCCCAATCTTAATAGATTGTAAAATATCTATGGATGGTCTAGATTTATTGTAATAAGTTTGATAATTGCAATAATGGGAACGNTTTACAATTAAAGTTAAATCTTTCTTTAAACAAAAAAAATTGAAAATTTATTTAAAGCTTGACGGATTCGAGTACAAAGACAAAAGGATGAATTGGCAAACTTGGCATGCATTTATTTTGTGAGTCTGTCTATATGTGACGATTTTATAATTTACGAAAGCACGAGGGATCTGTGCATAACATCTCACGAGATAATTTCCATTGGCAAATATGCTATGTTTCATACTTCCACTTAACGAATAATGATGGAAATGGCATTTAATTGTATAATTCTTAGATATTATGAATTCTTCTTTAGTGTTAGTACCTTTCTCTCATGGCATATCTTGTATCATGTATGGTGGACTAGACAAGATTAGGGAAGCGAAGTATTGCACTGACTGTTAATATATCCCTAATGTCTTCTAGGGGCAGTATAAAGTCAAGATCGCATCATCATATAATACGACAATGCATACCCTATTCAGGTTACTCCCCTTAGCCTTACCCTCTAAAGATCTGAAAGTATATTTATGTTTTCCATGTCTTTGTTGGAATTCAATTCTAAGCACCACCATATATTGATATGGGATGCTGGAATAAAAAACGTTTAGGTTGATTGTCAATTGATGGTAACTTAAATCAAATTGAATACAAAAGTGTTTAATATGTTACTCTTGATGCGTGTTTTAAACTTCTTGTAATTAATGTAGTCTCATACCTCTAAGTTTTATTCAACGTTCTTTCAATAACTTTAAGAATATTATATATTTTT